TTTTTAACCCAAGAATATTGGGGAATCTGTGAAAAGAAACTTCATGCATATTTTTCTCAGGTGCTTTGGTGCCATTGTGTTCATGAGATGATGTCATGAAAACCAAAAATAAATCGATTTCTAATAACACCCATGTGGACTTTTTTTCTTCATCGTCGTTTTTTCTTGCAAGTGAGGTTAACCACTGTGCCGCATGGTTTTTATTCCAGCTCTGTCCAAAAGAGTGTCTCTTTGTTCTGCTGCTTGTTAGTATTTCTGTCAGTTTCCTTGGACTGACTATAAACATGAACCTGGACTTCCTGCCTTTTGCTTTCTGTTTGTCGAGTAAGTGGCTCACGGTCCATCACTGTAACCGATGATATAATAGAATGAGTTAATAAATGAATACATAAAACGGACAATTTTTTTTGTTTTTAGTTGTTTAATCTTTTGAAATTAAACAGTGTCGTTCTTTTTTATATAAAAAGTTATATGATGTTCTTTACTGCTCTTTACATACTTCATTGTTTTATCATTTTTGAAAATGAAAATTTTTGTCAACTAATTACAAAAGGGTTTTCTTTGTTATATTTAAACCTAGTTTAGTGAAGTAAAGGACAAAAAATCTTGGAGTTTGAAAAGAAGTTCATGCCACACTTTGGTGTTTGTTTTATTTGTTTTTTCCAATTATATTTTTTACTTCCTCTAAAGATAAATTTCTATAAATGCWTGTAAAGATAAGGGCCACAGTGATGCAGATCTGCCTGTCATTCATCCAAGAACAAAATCTAAATAAAAAACAAGCTTAAGACCTTTAGTGACTGCAGTCTGAGCACAATATCGTTATTTGTCTCTTTCTTTTAATCTGCATTGATCAAACTCTAACTCCTTCTCGTTTACACACACACGCAAACATTGATTGAAACCCACCGGGAGGATGGGCCGTTTTTGCTGCAGCTGGTGTAGATGACAGGCTCGTCGTCATAGAAACTGCCAAGGGCAAGTTTCTGCCTGATCGACTCCCTCTCATTCCTCTGAGCCTGGCAGAAAGCAAAGGCACATACAGAGATCATTAGTTAAAGCCAAGATCCTGTCCTGTCTCTTCTGCTCACAGGACAATGTGCACTGATGCTCTGAGGGACCGCGTTGGCTGGTCTGAGCTAGGAACATGTGGAACAATGGAACAGATTTGGGCACCCTATAATAGTTTCTATCAATACTACATCTGACAGATTCAGGTGAATACAGATTGCATAAATATAAACATAAATATGAGTGTTAATAGTTTGTTTCTGGTTTCTTCTGTTTGATCTGCTGGAGGATACTCAGACATTGTGTGCTAAATCAGTAACAATAATGACAAAAAAGAAAATATGTATGGAAAATATATATATTAAACCAAATCTGAAACACCTGCCAATGAAAACTTTGTGTTCTATATATATATATATATATAATATGTATGGAAAATATATATATTAAACCAAATCTGAAACACCTGCCAATGAAAACTTTGTGTTCTATATATATATATAT